AGTATCTTGCCCAAGAAGCAACAGCTCAAGGTGGCAGCAGTACAGGTTCTGGAGTTAGGGAGGCACTGAGCACCAAGGATTTTTATCACAATATTAAAAACATTCCTTATATTTCTAATTTTGTTATTTTGTCCAGTTACTGTTTTGCATCTGAAAAATTGCCATAATTCCTAAACAAATACAACTATATTCTTGATACATGTTTTTTTTAACATGGGAAAAATTTAAAAATAAATAAATAATAATAGTAAAGTAAAATATATATATTAAAAAGTGTCATTGTCCAAAAACGTATGCAGTTACTGTAGGCATCATCAAATATACAGTAGACTTTGTGGCAGTACATTTGTATAAAATCTCTTTCCTGGTAAGCTGCTGCTGTCCTTTGTTGAAACGGAGATCCTTGGTGGATTTTAGTCATTTTTCAGAGGATTCTTATTGAAATCGCACAGTGAGCGGCTTAAGGTCCTATAACCTGCAGTAAATACCCAGCAGGCAAGCTTGCACAGCATGTGCTGTATTCACTCTGCACAACCAGCTTATGTAAATAGATATCTGGTTAGCTCTAGACACAGTGTTACCTCAGGGGGAGAGCATCCTTCTCTCCATCCTTCATCCCCCTTTTTCCAATTTATTGCTCTCAACAAATATCTTTTTTCAGAAATTGTCACAAATATGAAGCTAGATGATAAACAGCTACCTGTTCAATATCACTTCAAATGTAGCTACACTGTATACAGGTATCTGCAGAGCAAGAAAAAAATGGCATGTTTGCAGTAAAGTTGAATAAGAGATCTGCTGAAATGGATGGAAATGGATATGTTGTGTTTTGCAATTCCCTCTGAGCTATGAGCTTATCATGAAGAACATGCGAAAACAAGTTTATATGCACGTACACACATACTGTTACAATTCTTGCTTATCATTACTATGGTAAAACATGTAAATAACATTAGCTTCTCTCTTCCTTTGATGTCCTCTGTAGTGAGTAAACAGCTAGGTCCCAGCAGTGATTCTCACCTGTTTAAGGGCTCAGAAGTACCTGGAAGCTACAGTCATTCTGCTTAATTTGAGACTGCGATCAACAGTCATTTCTGAATCTCCAGAATCTCTTCATGTGAGGCTCCAGTAGACGGTCCTGTGTCATCGTTTTCAGCTCATCGCTTCAGCTGAAAAATTCATTTAAAAGCACAGATGAAACAGTACAAAAAAAAAATATTCAGAGACTTGAAATAAAGGACAAAAGCGCTCTGAGTGACAGTGCAAGAGAAAAATAGGACCGTGTCCTAATTAAGTCTTCAGCCCAGATGAATTCATTGAGCCTTATTAGAGGGACCCGTAGAGACAATATCCTCTTCAGTCCTGGGAGAAATCTGGAAGTTGCCACTAGCAGAACACAATGAATTGATTTAGGAACTTTGCTATGACAGCACTTCACAATTTGAGGGTGAATTTTCTGTGTGGTGACCACCTGACCTGTCTGCCATATGGTTGGAGTTAAATGTGGTATCGCCTGAACCAAATCAAACACAAACAAGCTGGAAATTAAATCTATTCCGGCACAGGCAGGTGTGTAGTGTTTTGCCTCTACTGGCAGGATTTAAATTGGTTTAACTGGCTTGGTCACTCAGATGGATAAAAAGCAACTTCTATATTATACACTTGTTCATCAGTTCATACATTTTCTTCAGCTTTGGTGACCATGATATCTGAAATGTTCTCTACTTTTAGATTTACGACAGAACTGACAAGTTGGTCTGAAGCACGCCATTCTTTGTCACTGCCTACAAAAACAAAGGGCTACGATAACACAACACAAAAATCCCATCTACAGCTGTCAAAGAGAGTCTTTTGATGACTGCCTTTGGTCTAAAAGGTCCATGAATAACAAAGCATTGAACCATCTTTCATATAAACGTTCATCTGATAAAAATTGCCAGTTTCCATTAAATGTTTGAGTTTTTAAGAGCCAAAAGCAACAATGTTCAGCAGCATTAAGCAGAAATGTGGAAGCTTTTTCTGTGATAGAGGATAGAGGACTGTACTGGTTATCTGACATACGGCACACTTTTAGGCCAATGGACCTGTATGACTGGCGCACCTGCTGGACAAACACTGACAGCAGTTCATTCATTCATGTTCATTATGGACAACACGATGCCCAATCAATTCTCTTGGCGACCTGGGGTTTACAGACGTGTGTGTGCGTGCTTCATATTCCCAAAACTCCTAATCCTCCTGCCTGGAACACACCCAGATTTCTGTAAAAGTTAGGCAAAGTTTTGGGTCACGGTTCAATAAGACAAACTTTGAGTGAAAACGAAAACTTCTCTCACAGCATGGAACTCCTTTATATGAAACACGTCCAATTTCCACACCTTCACATTTCACTGAGGAATTTCAATGTCAAACTGCTCTCTCTTTCTGGTTGTGTCTCCACTATGAAATCCGTTTGTAGAATGAAATGTATTTCTCTCATATCCATGCAGAGTACGGAATATTCCCATGAAGAATTCTTTCCCAATTGCAGCATTTAGGTAGACTGAGCTGAATAGTATTTATCTGCTCTGATGGTAGCTTAGCCTCTGCAGACCCTTAAAACTCCAACTGCAGCCCCCACCAACTTCTTCTGGCATGCCTTTTATTTATTTTTTTTGTTTCATCCCTAAATGGCCAGGAAGAGTTACTTTGAAGTGAAGGTAAAGGCAAATATAAAAAGAGTGAGTGTCCTCCATGAAGAGGTGGCTTTTGGTTGTGGCTATTCCCCAGCCTCGCCTTGCCTCCGGCCTGCATGACACCACCTCCAGTTGCTAGCTGGCAGACTGGCACATCACACTTATCCAGACTAGACAGATTATTCTCTAATACTTTGAAGAGGTTTCACGTAAAGAGCACTAAACAGGAACACCCTTCTCAACCCACTGCCATGACATGAAATACTAATGTGGCTAAAATTAAATGTTCACCATTCAAATCGCACCTCCACTCAGTGTGAGAAAGTCTGCGGTAGCTAATGTGATTATAGTTAAGCTAAGGGCAAGAGGACATGCAGCTGAGGTCTGAGTGTGTGCTGGGAGTATGAACTCAGAGAGAATTTTAGCATCTTTTTAATTAGAACTTTTAAGCTGCGTCAAAGTTCAGAAAGCCTTTTCTTTTTTGGCTTTGCTATTTTGGATTTCATGAACATTAACAGCCAGCAAATCACAACTGCTAACATAAAGGGACGACTTTAAAGAAATTCATTAAGTAATTAGGCACAATTACAGCTTTACAATAGAGTACCACGGAGAATGGATACTAATGGCATAATCGCATTTTTGTAAAGGGGAGAGAGCTAATGCTATGGTCTGTGAAGCAGGCTCCCAGTTTTTGCAGTGGAAAACCTACATGTAGAGTTTAGTCATCAGTGATCAATATGAGATCAGTGTTGAAGTAGTGCTGCTTACTGGCCTCATTGTTGCCAGATTGTGCACATTTAAAAATATCACCTTAAGCAAAAGACCTCCTGGTTATCCAGTTTTCCTTATTTGTCAGTATTTCTGGACTAGATTTACTTTCTTCAAAGAACCAACTGATTCTGTTGGTTCAAAAATGAATTTAAAGCAGCAGCTCTGATTTAAGGGGGAAAGGAAACAGGGGAAAGGCACTTTTTGTCTAGGGGGATCCAGAAACTTCTAAACTAACTCCTACATCAAATGAGTATAGATGAGTGCTGAGGAACATTCATGAGCTTCTTTCAAAGTAGTATGCAAATGATAAACAGGCCTTCAAGTGAATATTTTGAGAATTGAGCATTTCAAGCCCTGAAACTCATTTAGTAGTAGCTTGACTTGGGTTTTTATTTTCTTTTTTTTTGTAAAAACGACAAGAATTTGACCCTTTAAAACCTGAACCATGAAATAACTACCAATTTTTTTTTTTGCTCAACCTTCTGATGAATTACAAAAACCACATAAATTAAATATTAATTTACATATGGGTTAACTTGCATCATATTTGCTACATATTCTCCCCAGTTTATTAATTATCATGTTATTTTGTTTTTACTGGTGGGACAAAAAAAAAAAAAAAAAGGAAAAAAGGAAAAAAAGAAAACACTGCTCAAATATGATACACTTGACTTTAAAGGTTTAAGATGCGTTACCTTTAACTTTTGTCATGTTTATTCAGAGACATGAACATTTTCAGGGATATAGTAAATAAATTTATTTTAACACAAATGACTTAACGTATTTAGCCACCAACCCCTACATCTTCATGAAATGAAAACATACATTTTTAAGTGCATTTAATGTTGAGATAAAAGAAGTAGAAATGATTAGGCTTGGTGAGAAGAGCCTTAAAGATACGAGAGAACAAACATAAATAATGTAATTCAGGGAAAAAACAAAACACAAAAAAAAAGTACTAAGAATAAATATGTACACCAAGGCAGCATCACTTCTCGAATATACGCACAGATACAGATGTTGTGTAAAAAGGCTTTTAAAACAGGTACAAGTGTACTGGGAGGAAACATATGGTTGTGATCTGTGGAACTGAACCTCTCAAATGTTAAAATAGAAGCTTTATAAAAGCTGGAAGCTTAAGTTTACATTAACAAGGTGAGTTAATTAGAATATTATTACATGCGGAGAAAGAAAATCTACAACACTACAATAAAACAATGACAATTGTCAGTTAGAGTTAATTAAAAAAACAAAACAAAAAAACAAAACAAAAAAAACATAACATTGAAGGGCAAAAAAAGTCAACATTAACTATTTTCCCCTGTTAAATAAAAAACCTAACTTCAAAATTAATGTTAATTTGTTTTACCATAGCATTTAGCAACAAACGTAGATGCGATTAAATTCCCATTTAAACCACATGTATACAAACATGATGAAACTTGGTCTATGCTTATAACCACGAACAGCACTGAGCAGTTGCTTAGAAATCAGGAAGCTGAATAGGGAAACAGAAACACTGAAAATGTAACTAGTACACAAACACACACAGAAAATGTCAAGAAAAACTAAAAATTTGTCCTTCATATTTTTTAAATTAAGTCAAACTTGACCAAAGCAGTGGCTATCAAACACAAACATGGCACAGTACCGTTCCAGTTAGGCCCTAGTGATGCAGTCTCAATTCAAACATTGTGAGTTTGGAAAAAGAAAGGAAGTCCTGGAAGTTCGCAGCAAATGACTAATATTAGCTGGATAAAGCATAAAAATTATGACCAGCTTGCCCCCACTGCTGCTCATATTTCAGATGGGAAGCCACAGACAGCTGCAGGACAGTTCTGATACTGGCAAATATCAGTAAGTCCCTACATTCAGTGCATTATGATGGCTTAAAGCCATTTCTTCTGGATAGGCTAAATCTGTGTAAGCCTGAAGCGCCGGTTTGGACAAATATAAGTTTGTCGTATTTACAGGTAGCTTTAACTTTATGCAAATCGACCTATGTGGTCAAATCTTGCTGTTAGTGTCAGTCAAGGCAAACGAGGTGGAAAAGGCTAGCAATGACTCCTGCTGGTGCCTTCAAACAGAAGCATTTCAGAAGAGGTGGGTGGTTGAACGACTGAATGTGTGATACTTCCTCTCAAACATGGTAGGCAGATGGACCATGGAGGGTGAGTGGTGTGCCTGTAAATGGAAGAGAGATTTATTTATTTTTTAAAAGAAAATGACAGACATGGAAGAAAAAGTACTTATAGTTAGTTAGTTAGTTATATGTTAATACACAACATCCCCGTTAAAGAGTGATTGAGGTTTCTTGAAACACTACTTTCTATATTTATGTTTGTAACTGAGCTTGTTATCATATAGGAAACTGGATCTGCTACAAGAAAAATCTAATATGGGTGGAGGTATTTCATACAACTTGGAAAAATAGGTTTCAGCAAGGGAATATGAGAATGGCAGTTTTAACTATTATGTGTTTGTACACAGTCAACATTATTTATATAGTACCTTAACAGCAGACACCTCAAGGTGCTCTATATGAAGAAAATGCTAAAATATTAGAAACAGAACCGATCTGTTGGCAACAGCAGAAAGGAAGAGCGTTTGGCAGAACTAGACTCAAAGAGGGACAAGTCATCTGCCAGAACTGGCTGTTGGGGGTGAGGGGGAAAGATGACCAAATATTGCACTTGCCCTTACTGTCCATTTAAAAACAAACAAAAAAAACCCCAAAACAACAACAAACAAACCACAAAAGGCGTTAAAGGGCCTGAAAAGTGAAGCCAGTAAGCAAGTGCATTATTAAATCCAGTCTAATCGTAGGCAGGAGGTGACTCCTTCAGTTTCAAAAACACATCCCACAGTACAGACGTCTGCAGAAGGGAAAATAAAAAACAAAATAGCCCTCGAGTCTGTTGATCTATCACTTCAGGAAATCCTTGAATCTCCAAACTGCAGTTGATTTTCAGCGCAGAACAAGGACCATCCCCAGATGCAGTCCAAGAGGATGGGAGTGAAGTGTCTAACCACAAGACCAGAAGCACCTGAATAATTTTGAAGATCTTGACAACGACAATCTAACCAATCAAACTAAAAGACAAGAAAGGGAAGGGCAAGCAGTTATTAGTAACTGGGTTTTTCAACTGCCCAAGTAGCCTCCACGGTGCTTTCAGTATGATTATTAGCTCTGCAAGAGGTGGTAATCACCTTAGTTTTTATTCAAATATGAAGAAATCAATTCTTGCAGGTACCAAGTTTTTTCTTTTTTGAGAAGGCAGTTTGAAATGTTTATTATTAGACTTTGTATTTGGGTACTCATAAATATGAATGAAGATCTGTATCAATTGGATATTTAACCTTTCCCACAATTAAATGGCAATTTAATGTTTCACCTCCCACTAAGGTAATTTAGATAATCTGTTGATTATCTGACTGCTTGCATTTGTTTTCCTGATTACAATCACTCTACACTCATTGTAACAAGTGTACAATGAAATCACTACATAATCACTGAAAGCTGACATAAACAAAGCAATAAGCTCTAATAAACTGAAAATATTGCAGAAATTGCAATTTGGATAATTAAACAGCTTACAACCGCTTACATGTACAGTTTGTATGTTTGTCGCACTTAAATGTTTCAGATCAAACAAATCCAAATATTAGACAAAGGTAACAGAAGTAAACACAAAATGCAGTTTCTAAATGAAAATGTTTATTATTAAGGCGGAAAAAATCCAAACCTACACTGCCCTGTGTGAAAAGTTGACAGTGGTGTATCACGTCTTTGGAAAGCCGAGTTCAACTTCTCTAGCCACCCAAACGCCTGATTACTGCCACACCTGTTGTCAATCAAGAAAACACTTAAATCAGACCTGCCTGACAAAGTGGAGTAGACCAAAAGATCATCAAAAGCCAGACATCATGTCACAATCCCAGGAGATTCAGGAACAAACTAACAAAGTAACAGACCTTCCCAGGTTTACCACTCATGACCTCTTGGATGACGACTCATCCAAGAGGTCAAGTATTTCAGACACAGAACATCATACAAACCATAAAATATGGTGACTGTGGTAGTTTGATGGTCTGGGGTTGTTTGGACCATGACTTGCTGTGGTAAATGGAACCGTGAAATCTGCTGTCTACCAAAACATCGAGAACAAGAGTATCCAGCCATCTGTTCATGACTTTAAGCTGAAAACGCACTTGGGTCCTGCAGCAGGTCAAGGATCCGAAAAACACCAGCACGTCCACCCCTGAATGGCTTAAGAAAAACAAATTGAAGACTTTGGAGTTTGCCTAGTCAAAATCCTGTCCCGAATCCGATTGAGATGCTGTGACATGACCTTAAAAAGGCAGTTCATGCTCAAAAACCATCCAATGTGGCACAACTCCAACAATTCTGCAAAGACGAGTGAGCCAACATTGCTCCACAGTGCTAAAAGAATCATCAGTTATCAAACACTTCCGTTATTAGGTTTAGGGGGTTATCACTTTTTCCACACAGGCCATACAGGCTTAGGTTTTTTTTTTCTTATTTAATAAATATATAATAAATATTTAATAAACACCTTTATATATAAACTGCATTTTGTGTTTACTTGTGTTATCTTTGAATTCAGAAAATATTCAGGTTCTCTCAGTTTTTGAATGCATAGTTCTTAATCTGATATAATGAAGTTGATATAAATTCTATGTTTGCCCATTAATCCACAGCAACAGTTTGAAAACAATATTGTAAATTCCTAAATTTATCATTCACATTAAGTATGCAGAATCCCAAGCAAGTACTTCATAGAATCTCTTACAGAGGTAATCACTGATAGATGGTATAAGGCCAGGTGATGTAGACTTGTCTGTGCTGGAGTTCTCAAACATTTTACTAGACAATCATCTTATTTTTCATCATCGTTTCACATATATTCTATTTAATATGTTTAAGCACCAGACAGAGTGTGTTTCTTCTAAAATTTGTGTTCTTAAAGCAATTTCTCTTTGTTGCAAAATGCATTGCTTTTCACAGACTCCTATACATTTTGCTGGATGTAGACTGGTGATCAACACTGGTATTTAACAACTTTTAAATCAATTTTAATTTAAACAACGCCTGCAAAGACGTACTTAAAATACTTTCTAAAGGCATTGTATACTCAAGCTTGACTCAGAGTTAAGACTGGGAATGTGAGTCAGTGCGTACGCGTATTCACCAAGTACAAAGTTTAGTTTATGTGGTGCAGCCTCATTTTAATTACTGAATGCAAAGAGACAAACATTGTTACTCAAGTCTCTATGCCTTTCAGTCCAAACCTGGCACCAAACTAATTGAGATGTGCAACCTTTGCCAATGCAATCACACTTCAGCAGCTTTCCACCTGGCTTTTACACACATGGCAAGTGCTCTTTATAAGCATTTCATCAGAGCCACAGTTTTTCCAAATACCCTGTGTGAAAATGCACATCAGCAGATTTATGCCTATTTACAGTGATATAGCGCCAGTGTCATACAAAGCATTTTTACTCTAAACATTACAGTTTGCATAGATGTGTCTCTTATTGGAATAAATTAAGCAGAGTTCATCATAACAGTGATACAGAAGCTTTTTTGTTCCCCCAATCTGTGAGGGCAGTTGAAGTTTCAAGAATCAAGACTTCTTCAAGTTTTAGTTTGATTAGTTTGATCACTACAAGTAGTATGATAATGGTGAGAACCAAAACAATGAATTCAAAAATATTTCAAACCTATAAGTCCGTTTTCCCTGTGAAAACTTAAGTATTTGAAGCTTTCTGTTAAGGTACAAATGTGTCTACATTTTGCTTTCTTTGTCGATAAAGTTGTTTCTTCTTGATCCAGAAGAGACACTTCTTGAATATACTCGACAACAGCTACTATTGTTGTATCTATAGTTTCTCATTTCAGCTCTAGCAAAACAATGATGGCAGATTCAAGGAAAAAAAAACCCTGCTCATTGCTTTTGGGTTGCCTATGCAGGAATGTTGCCACACATGTATCATTATCTACATGATGCCTGCATTTAAGATGCGATGGGTGTTTTTTTTTTTTTAAGTGCACTTAATCAAAACAACACTTTCTATAAAAAGCTGGTATCATTATCAAGGAATTCTCCTTTTGCATCAGTGCAATTCTCACTTCATTTGCAATTCTTTCCCATCTGACAATTTGTGACTGAGCAAAATGCCCATGTAAGAAAAAACAAAACCCCAAAACAAAGCACAAACACAAACCAGAGACGAAACGGTACATTTTAATCGAGTTCTGTAGAATATGTGCCAGAAAAAAGAGGCATCAGGTAAGGGCAACACCACGAGTGTCTGCATCCTCAATGCCACAAAAATCCTTCATACTGGTCCTTAAATGGCTTCAGCTAATATGAGGCATTGTGTGCCTAGTGACTCAGGCATCACATGTGGTTAAAATGTATTACAGATAACAGTTGACCTGCCACTAAACATTAAAGCTCACATAAAAAGTCACACTGACATTGTGAATACATTGACATTTTAATTTTAGTGTCATGTTTGTGTGTAAACTAGCCCAAATACACAAAGCTCACTGCATACAAAAACTGAAGACTTTGACATTTTGATTTTTATTCTTGATATTTTCTTCAAGTGGCACTAAAAAGAACGGCTTTGATCAAAACAAAGATCGATAAGAGACTAATCATCCTGTCTTATAGTTGTAACGGTAACTGAATCATTCCTTTTTAATATTCATGAGTTGGCTCAATGCAAAATGAAACAATCTGTTTGTGAAATCAAGACTTCACATCTAAATCTCTCCCCCAAAATAAGAGGTATCAATCTGGAATGACAGTCCCAGCTCTTCGTGACCCCTGCTCATTACTAACATGTACACTGTACACCACCTGGTGAATATTCCCATCCACCACCAACACCACCACCACTCCGTAATCTAAGAAATTCGTCAGAAAAATTACTCCAAATCAACCCTTAAAATCTCCACCCTTTACACCTATACCAATCTCCAGTGAGGAGAAGCATTATACGCAAACTGATGGAATCTCGTCTGTGTCGATCCGACTTGGGCTGTGGAGCAAATCTTTTATTTGTATTTTTCATTTTGCAGGGTCTCAGCTTCTAAGGAGTTGATTTGGGACTAGAAATGCACCAGTGATACTCTGATATTAAAAAGGCAAATGTGCCAAGACAGTTTAATGAGGATTAGTTTAAAATGGAAAATGAATTGGTGCACCCGAGACTGAAAGTGGACAACAACAACAACAATAATGTCTGCTCACGTCAAACTCCAGGACAAAGCTCAGCGATCATTTAAAGCAGAGTCTCTTTGCAAGGACTGGTCACGACAGCCTTCTGTGGATCCATGGGAACTTGAGGACTTCTGCATGACTCAGGAAAGACCCTACGTTTGCCATTAAAAGGTTGAGGACCTGGGGAGCTTGCTTGGAATCCTACAGAGGGCAGCGGTCTGGACAAATGTAGTCGAGATTTGGATCGGGAATGTTTAGAGTTGAGCTGTGTGGAGTTTTGGACAGCTGAAGTAGAAGCAGAGGTGGGAGGATTTAAACAGGACGACTCCCAGGAAACAGGGAGGCTGGAATGAGTTAGTGCTGGTTGATTAAATAAAGAATCATTAAAAATGGGCTTAGATTTTCTGGTGATAGAGCAAGCATTAAGCTAAGGGTCTTGGCTCAACTCAGAAGCAATTTTGGGGACAGGATTTTTGGGGGGAGTGCAGGGGGTTCGCATACGATCAGGGATGTTGAATCTGATTGGAGGGTGGTCCAGAGAGTTAGAGCGCTGCACCACGGCACTGCTTTTGGTAGAATCATTCAAACTGAATGTTGAGGCAGCGCGAGGCATCTAAAGTACATAACAAAAGGGAGAAACAAACGGAGCAGGGTTTTACATTTAATGAAGGGGGTGGGGGGGTGGGGGGCAAGAAAACAGACGAGCTAAAACATCACAAGAAAACACAGATCAGTACAGTAACTGAAGGCTGTTTATAGGATTTCTTTGTGGATGAACTGGCAGAAATGGAAAATAATCATGTTTTCATTAGTGTATAATCATCTGAAGGCAAATCCTACCATGTAGTATCATAGTGGTTCTACATTACAGAACAGATGAGTTTTCCTATATGCCTGGAAAGGCAAGGGCCCCATTATACCTGCCATGCTGCATCGTACAGTGCGAATGACACTGTACGACAAAGCTGACGTCAAACTGATCCCACATCCACCATCTGTCACTCAAGCACCTCTCAATTTCTATAACCTATGGCACTACCATACATTTGTGTCGATTTTCTTGCCATTTTAATGACATATGGGTTGACATATGACATACAAGCTCAGAGATTCACCTTTTCAACCTTGCAACAGTTTGAAAAGATGAGACTTTGTGGGGGGAAAGACAAAACCTCACACAAACCCCCCTAAGCAACTCTTTTGCTTCCAATTGTGATTTCTTCCATTGATCAGCACTGACGAAGAGGTTTTCTCTGACACCCATTATTCAGGAGAATACTGCAGCACAACAGTGAGCATGCGGCTGTGCAATAGCATTACTGGCGGTGTGCAAAGCAACCAGCAAGGCAGGTATACTGGGACCTTGAGGCGAGTTCACTTAGCTGCAATCTGCAATGCCAACTTCTGGTAGAAGCCACTAAATCCTAATCTCTTCTAACTACACATTGTGCAAATACTAGCTTTGCTTGTTTGTTTTTTTTTGTTCAGTCAGAAAGATAACATTCAACACCTCGCACAAAAAACTATTCTTAGCCACTATTGAAAATAATTTATGGGGTTACAGGAAAGAAACTCCATCTGATTAAAAAATAGTAATAAATAAGTAAATAAATAAATAAATAAATAAAATAATGACATAAATATCTAGTCCTCATAAGCCAGCAGCAAAAGTTATATTTTGTCTAGTTTCTAAAATCTTTTTCACTTGCTGTTTACAAGAGGAACTCTGCATACTGCCATTAATCTGACTCGATAAGCTTTGAGCATTTACCCATGGATTACTCTGCAGTCTGCATTTACATGCATATACCATTAAAAAGAGGCATGTTACCTGAGATACTTATCAAAAAGGTAAAAATGTGATAATGTTGTACCAATACTACACACTCAAGGGTTTTAGAATACATTACGATTAAATGAAATTAAACTGAAACGCGCACAAAAAGGAAAACAAGAAAGAAGATTATAGGACTATTTTTCTTTGCAAAAGAGAAGAAAGTCGCAGCACATTTAAGACCGCGAGCCCTTTTTCTGCTTTCTAATCAAGTTAGATGAAAGTAACTGACACCAATTGGATGGGTCTGATGGAGAGATCAATTACCTGATTCTCAGCAAAGGGAGAGAGATGGAGAAAACAGAAAAGCAATAAGGAACAGGTGGACAGATAGATTGTTAGAGACGGACAACCTCTTAGTATCCATCACTTTCATCATTTAGCACACACGTACACACACCAAAATGTAGTAACTGAGTTATACAGACGGTGAATTTGGTTATTATAATACAAGAAATTAGATGATCTCAGTTTGGCTACATCATTAATACACCTTGTGTTAGCTAGTACCAGACTTAATAACGCCATATAGATAAATGAACTTACAGCCAACGTGGTGCTGCTGCCGACGCGGTTTTCACAGCTCAGCCTCTGGCTTTTCTCATCTGAAGGACTGTTGGCCATGAAAGCCCTCTGGATCACACGCTTTGGGGTCTTGGTGAAAGAAAACGCTCTTGTCACCTAGTGTGTACACACACACACGCACACACACGCACGCACGAACACACAGTCAATAATTTCAGTTTTGTTGGCAGGTCTCTGTCATATTTGTAATGGTAAAAGAAAAAAAACAAAGCTCCACTTTTGTCCACTTGTTGCACCATGAAAACTAACACTTCTAGAACACCTGCTCTTCATCTTTGTCAAAGGCGCCGCATGATATTTTTGCATTCAACAGGTTCTATTTTCAGCCACTTCATTTTGAGTATCTGTAGCTGTAACTCATTTTGCATTTGCTCTTAGTGTCCATCACTGCTGAAGCCACCTGCATAACTAGAGGATTTATTTCTTCCAAACGCAGTGAAAAAAACCTATGTGCAGTTTTTCTGGCATTGAAGCATCTATACCAGGCAGAGCATGGGTACAAATATGTAAAAGCTGTCATTATCAAGTACAGTCTGTTAAATGATCACATTTCATTTTTTTAAAAAGGGCAAAGGCCTCAATAATTACAAAAACACTTATGACAAGAAGTGCCCACAACAAAAACTATTGCTCATCTAATGAGCAGGCATTTAGTCAACATCTGGTAATTTGGCGTTCTTTGATTTACATTTTGTTCAATTTGTTAAATCATTATCATATAATGTGTCAAAACTAACATAAATTAGTATATAGAACCTGGACTAACAGATAAAATAATAACTGACAACCTCCCATTCAAGATCATCTACTCAGACACGTTCAGACAGATCCCAGCACACCAACTGTTTTCAGATCACTCTAGAAGGCCTTCCAGTATCCACAATGCTATTACTTTGCAGTTCAATCAAACATGACTGCAGACGTAAGCTTCTGTTTCAAACTAACTTTTTTTTTTTTTGCCAAAACAAGCTTTTCATCCATTTCTGAAAAATAAAAATCAAGTTGAAAAATGACCATTTTGACACCCTGGAATAAATCCAGCACACACTACAGAAGTGCAAGGAGACGTGTAAGGGACTTCCAGGTTACTACCAGCCATATTAACAACAGTACAGGTGATTGAGATGAAGTAGGTATGTTTTTTGATTTTTATTGGACCATTTCTGGCACTTTCTGATCAACCTGCTTCTGAAGCTTTGCAGCTAGAGAAAACTCCCTGAGCTATAGGTTCAAACATGCAGGGCATCAGCAGAAGAAAATCTTCCACAAAAGCAGGTGTGACATCAGAGAGGGAAACGAGTTGCACGGTTTTTGCATCGTGCTGCTGTCTTTTTCTTAGCCCTTTCTATTTCCATCACACCTACTTTACTCTTTAGAACATCCAAAAAAGTAAATAAATAAATAAAAATTGCTAAGAATGCAAGGTTTTATACTCATGTTGCCCATCTCTTTCCTCCCGCTGAGTCAATTTTTGGAGCCTTCCACCAAATATTAATGATGATAATAATAATGATAATGGATTGGATTTATATAGCGCTTTTCAAGGCACCCAAAGCGCTTTACAATACCACTAAAATCATTAATATTTAGGGGTCAATGTTGGAAGGGTTCCTTATTAAAAGCCACTTCTTCGACCTTTACCTTTTTAGAGGTTTTCTTGATGGCCCTGGAGGCTTTGCTCAAGGTGCTGTCCATATCCTTGGTGCTGACCTGCAGTGAGTCTGGGTCTGTACACTGAATAAGGTCTTCCTGTTTGCAAGACAAGATGACAAAATACAAAAAAAAAAAAAGATCCAAACTCAGTATAGTAAATCATGACCTGAAGAGTGCAATTCAAGTAATCAGTACAGATGGATACATTTTACTCTGTTGTCGAACTAGTAGGCTGGTATGTGGAGGAGGATTAACACAGTCTTTATTTCCTTCTCTCCCTTACCCTGCAGTGGGCTTTTTAACAAACTGAAGTCCTCTCATTGGTATTCACATTGCAGCTCTGACCCAGTGAAAAAAAGCATTAGGAATGCAGCTGTGTGCCGTTTAGGCAGAACAGATGCCAACATCGCCCCCTGCTGAGTACTCTGCAAATTGCAGCATCTCAAATTAACATCTTCCAGTGAGCTCAACAATGCATGAGCTTAATCAACACCAGAGAAGTCTGATTTCTACCATTTTCCACAAGCACTAAATAACTTAATCTTTCATGTAATTTCTCATTTTTGTTTCCATGAACAATAACTACGATATGCATTATGCATTCCCACATCTAACCGCATGTCATAAACATGCCCTGTCTTCTCATATACAAATGTATGAAACAAATACATTCGAACAAAAAATGTCCTCCATTGCTTTCTTTCTCTTTATGTACGAGTGTGTTGCTTCTCACCGCATCAGCCCTGCAGATGGTGTTGGCTACATGGCGGCAAAGTGTTCGCAGCCAGGCGCTTTTAACCGTTTCCTCTCCCGCCAGTTGGAAGCTGAACAACAAGTTCTCCTGTTCAGTCGGAGGGCGAACCACCAAGGCGAATGCATTCACACACTCTGAAGGGAGGAATTGAAAGAGTGAGACCAGGACAGACAGTGACGGTGCAAGAGGGAAGATAATTAACAGTGACAAAAGTAAGAGGGTTTAAAATAAGAAAAAAGAAATCAGGCGGTGAGAAGAGAAAGATATAAGAAAGAAAAAAGGAAGATCAAGGGAGTGTGTGGGAAGAGGAGATGGGAGAAGAAACTGTTGAAAAGAGATGAGCAGGAAGAAATGATGGTAACACTTAAGACTGCTGGGGGTGATGGGTTACAGAAGCCAGAGTCATCTTGTGCAAAAGAATATTCAAAAGTTCATCTAATGAGGCTTCAGCGTCCAAGTCAGACAGACTGAGTGGATATCTTCTAAAGTTAGTTAGCTCTGTACTTCTACAGCCAGAGTGTCCTTCTTTAGCTGCAGTGCAAGTAAACAAAGTACTCTCTTAAAAGCAAATGAAGGAAATTGATTATAATAACAAACAGAAGCTGTGATTATTCAGATGGACTGTTTGAGGGAAAAACAACAAATTACAGTAATTAATTAAAGATAACTAACATTTTCAGTTAGTTGGAAGCTGACAGTTTCTTTAAAATTTTATCAAGCACGATACAGGATTTTTCAAAAACACAACTTAGAAATGAAATTATTTAATCTTCTGCTCCACTTACGACTGATCATATGGACACTGAGATGACTTGCAGATGAAATGTTAAGATGCAACTGTGTATTTTGCCAATTTTACCTTCTGTGTCTTGCAAGTCCAGCACTCGTCGAATCTGAGACAGCGGCATTAATGCTATGTGTTTCAGGGGGGGCGGTGGTCTCGTCTGTCCCAGCGGACTCTTGAACGTATTGATCACCTTGTGTCGCTTCCTTGCAATCTGTAGAGATGCAGACACCAACTTTGGAGGTAAGTGTGAAAGTCAACTTCAAAGTAACATCCCTTGAGTGTGGGTGCATTTTGCAGTATGTGGGTGAAGCTGCTATCGATTGCTTGGCAATAAATCAATGATGCCTTCATAGAGGTAAACGATGCAACTCATTAATGTCACGTTAATTAGGAGATGAGAAGGAAGATAGAAGAGGCAGAGAAGAAAGGAGGGAGATTTGGGAGAGGATAAAATACAACGCAACATTCCAGGTCAAGAGTTAATCAATGGCTGCTGATGATAGAGAGTAGTGAGGCCACCCATGACAATGGCCATTCTATATATTAAAACACACACAGTGTAGCTGCTGAACACACACAGACAGGCTCATTAGGAGGCGTCACTGACACTTCTGAATCAGCGCAGCCGCTAACCTCGTCTCTTTCATGATTGCCTGCCATGTTCCCATGCTGACCCACTGCTAATTAACACACACACTTTGTGTCAGCAGTGATAGACTGCACATTCCTGATTTGGCAAGAGACTTGCACAGCATATTCTGAGACACGCTGAGAGACTCTCCCAAAACCTCTGAAGCCTTTAACTTCTTTTTATCTTTATCATTTTTGTTGGGAAACATAACAGCTCAACATATACAAGGCCAGATAAGCAATCTTGGGTGCAAGGGATATTTTAGGAGAATTCTGAAAAGAATATGACAAGACTAAAGTCACGGATTGAAAACACCACTAACAGCAAAAGTATATCTCGCCGGCCCCCTGTGTGACAAAGAATCTACATCATACTATGACTATGTAACTTTAAACCACGCATTACAGCTGAAAGACCATAACTTCTGCACCGATTACTATTAATGTATCATTCGCTTATTCTTAATCACAATAGCAGACCAACACTTACAATAAGTGTTTTAACAGGGAGTAATTACCCAATTAAAAATACCGACTGCTGCCAGTGCTGCCCCTAGTAGAAACACCTACGGTATCAATTTCAAACTCCACTGTCAACCTATTGTCTCAAGTAGATTCATATAAGTCCAAAAAACAGACAATGGTAATGTCTGCATCTGAGGCTACGTCCACAC